CCTGGTAAATGACTCCCCTGCTTTCCCCTGTCGCTGCAACATGTTTTCGTATGACAATCTTGAAACCCAGCTCTCGGGCTGAACAGACCATCCATCACTATGCTGCACAGTGATGCCACCCTATACACCGCCCATGTTGTAGAAATAAGATAATTATAGCGTGCAGCGTACAGCTGCAGCAACCCCGGACCACACAGGCCCAATATGTGGAATGAAACATCAGTTCCAATTTACATTTCTGTCTTTCTCATCCATCTTTTCCTTCAAACCCCCTCCTCCATCCAGGACCTCTTGTTTCCTCTCATCAGCCATGAGGTAAATTAAGAGGCTCTTCATCATGACCCAAATTAAGAAGACTCACTTCCAGGCCTTATTAATTTGGAATAACTCTCATCACATGCAAACCCCCTCACCAAACTCCTCACTGTTTGTCTTTTTTCCCTTCCATCCGTTCTGGAAAATCAAAAAAAGAGAAGAGTTACAGAGGATAGTTTTTTCCACATCTGTGTCAGTTCTCAGTCATCCAGGTCATCTTCAGCAGCTACATCAATGGCAACAGGACTGTCTTGGACGTTCGACCTCTCATCCAGGAGGCTTCTTCAGTTCTGACTGACTGCTGGGAGAAGTCTGGTATCTCTCGAGTACAAAGGACGAACTTCTGAGGATGGAAATGTCCTTGTCAGAGAAGACAGATGTTTGGAAAGAGGAGTGAAAGAAGCCATTTACACCTGGAGAAACCATCATTCAACAGAGGAGGTGGATTCACACAACAAAGACGCTGTCCGAGGGGCACACAGCCAGGTGATGCCAACGCCCTCCTGGTCTTTAACAACCCCACACTCACACCTCAAGTCTCATCATCACAACCCTCCTCCCTTTGGAATTAGGTGTGGTCACCTCCTTTGTTTACTACAACGACCCTCATACCACTGTGAGGTCAGTCAGTTAGAACTGAAGAAGCCTCTTGGATGTCATCAAGAAGACAGTCCAGCTGCCCTTAATGTACCTGATTGGATAGATTTTCAGAGCTATATATATTTATTTATTTTCTAAAACCTCTAAAAAGAGGTTTTGTGTGTGTGTGTGTGTGTGTGTGTGTTCTTTTGTTCAGGCCTCTCCCCTGCCTCTGCCTCCACTGTCTGTGGAGAACTTTTTCCCTCCACAGTAGTTAATAGGCAGGGGCCATATTTAATGTAGGTAAGAAAGTATTTCTTGCTTATTGTCTCAGGCACTTACTCCCACCCAAAGACAAAGCATCTTTGGCTGTTCATCCTTCCTTTCCCATCCCATTATCTGTTTTCAGAAACTCAATAATTGAGCTGCCCTGCTGGAATACATCATCTACCCCCACTATCAGACAATCCCATTGAATAAACTTCTCTCAGCGGCTATTGTGGTTGAGTGTGGCATGTTTTTTCTATTTCTCTCTTTCTCTCTTTTTTTTTCGTTTATCGGACTGTATTACAAGCAAGGTATTTGTCCAGGTGCAGGTAATGACTACAATTTGCTGCTATTTGGGCTCCTATAAGAGCCCTGTGTCTTCTAATGGAAGCATTGTATAATAGCTATCACACACGGGTTACTATTATCATGCTATGAATCTGCCATAAGCTCTTGAATCCAGCTGCACATCACAGAGACACAGGAGCAGAGGTACAGTCTGAGCGTGAAAAATAACCAACAGTGCAGCTTTAATAAAAACTATCTCAGGTAAAAATAACATTACATTAAAAAGCATTAGCAGCACACTGAACCACAAAAAACTCAGCTTTTAATTCCAAGAAATAAAAAAGGCCTATTTTTCCAACCAAGAACCGAGAAGTCTAGTTAGCTAACTAGCTAACACCAGATAAGGTAAGCCTAGGACACACCATATATGGCATAAAAAAACTAACCATAAAACTAAGACAAAAAGCAAAACAAAAGCTAATGCTAGCACTTGTCAGAGTTGCCTTTATGTTTGCTCAGGGATGAATAAATTTAAGATAACTGATAGCTTGGTGAAAAAGAAAGATATTAGGCTGTATTAGAATCGGAAGACTTTCTTTGATAAACAAATATAACTATGTTTGAGAATAAACTGAATTTTAACCATTAAATACCACCAGGTTATCAAAAAAAGATTATTTTAAAATATGAACTTTGAAAGTCTTTAAGCATGCATTGATTTGACCAGGGAAAATAAATAATGTTCCTTTTTCCATGTAAGATTTGACATTGAGTTACAACAAAATAACACCTGTTTTATTAATGTATCACCCCCTCACTGAGTGGCTGTCAGTCAACACATTACCTGTTATGTATTGAAAGAAAAAAAAGAAGAAATGCTGTGTACATCCTGGTGCAGCTACAGTATGTACGTCGCCCCATCGACTGTCAGTGGCAAACAGCAACCACCAAGTTGAGATAAAGCATAGAGATGCTAATGAGGTACAAAATAAGTCATTGTTATGATTTTTTTTTTTTTTTGGAAAGTAAGCAGAATAAACATCAACATGCACAGGCATGAATAAAGCCATTCAGATGTTCTCATAAATGATAATCCTGTGACTTCAAAGTCTTCTACAAACTCAGGTGAAATCCGAGGTAATGTGCGCTCCCCGATAAGCGCACAGACAGATGGCAGATGGAGAAACTGCAAACAGCAGCAGAAAAACATGTCTTTTTAATGATTGCTGCAAAGAGGGGATGTCTGTAGAGACGGACCAAATGTTAATGTGTCTGTCTATCTCACTGTTCCCCTGGAAATGCCAAGAATTTCCTTTGCTGGCATTTTAGGAGGCGAGCAAAGTTTGGACAGTGTTGTTTGATGTCCCTCTTAATACCAGCGTCCTCTCATTTCCCCAAAGAAATCATTAAAGTTTCATCTTACCGCTGTCATGCCGACACACAGATGGCAGCCGGCAGAGATTCAGCTGACAAATGGAATAATCCTTGATTTTTATCTGAACAGTGTTAAGTACAAATGCTTATTGTTCTTCAAGGAGGTAACAGGCTTTAAATAAACGCCGTCCTCTTATGTTCTAATGACAGTTAATGCTGTGATTTAGATTCTTAACAGAAGGAATCGGAAAGAAGAAGAGGGTCGGGATTTTTTAATATGTCTTACCTTTTTTTTACTGCCATTTTATGGTTTGACTAGAAACCTTTACTTCTGTTCTTGTTAGACTTTTGGAACAAAACAACCAGCCATAATCCTTTTAGCAGAGTCCTGGACTTTAGAGTTCCTCGAGGTTTACATCTCACAACCAACTTGAACTTCACTTTACTCTTTTGAAAATGCCAAGCTTGTTTGTGCATTCCATGAGGACTTTATTGCTAGGAATGGACTGTAGACATATAGTACAAGCATTAGTATAGATTTTCAATGGCACAGAGATGCACAGAGCGGTTACATTTATTTCTTAGACACTATACACAATTTGGTATTAACAATTTATACAATTTTCATGAAATTATTCTGTTATTTTCACTGCAAAATTTAGTTTATCTGCTTCACGTAGACTCAGTAAAATGTATTTCCTAACATCCATCTGAGATTCTGAAGTAGATATTTGGACAGAGGATTCATAGACTGTACATAGGAACTGGAAGAAGCAAACCAGAAGACATTTGTTAGTGTTGCAGTGGTGTCGTCCAAACTACCAAATGTCTTTAAAAATGATGTTGATTGTTTCTTTCTATAACAGGGGTCAGTAGGTCAGGCTTTTAAAAGAACCAGGACAAAATCCCAGTGGTGGTTGATGGCAAGCTATAAACCCTTAAGAAAAAGACACAGAGAAGGAAATACACGTACACACACACACACTCCCTGAAAAACAAGTGCACCTAAAGAAAGTTCTAAAAACCTTGACCATCACATATTCATGGCTTCAGTTGTCTTCGGTGGACTGTAACAGACAACAGCAGGGGACTTCTTTCAAATAATCTCAGCAAACATTGCCATGTTAAGCAGATTAACTTTTATTGTGTACATAATCTTGTAATTATCACGTTAGCATGCTAATTTGTGATAATTAGCACCAAACACAGTGTAGATGAGAATGATTTGAATATCATTAGTCGTCTTTTTTGTCATGTTATTGTCACTGGGAAAATGAGCCGTCGTGCTGTTGTGGTGTTTATTGTCAAAGTGACAGTGCACATTTTTATCAGTCTGGACTAAAATCATTAACCAGTTTGTGGCCGTCACAAACTGAGAACCACTTCTGAACATGGACTGACAAATGTTTCCACAGGGCTGGACTGTGTGTTCGTGGGGTTTTTTGTTTGTTTGTTTGTTTGTTTGTTTTTTAGGGATTTTGACAAACTTTTGCCAACATTCTTTTCAATATATGGCACATATTTTGCAAATATGTATCTATTTATTCAACCGTTTTAATACATTTCTTGAGTTTTATTTTTCTTATTTTAGCCAAAATGTCAGCTCTTCGTTAGCACAATTCAAACTTATGTACAAGTGGCAAATGACATCATTGGACAATTTGATATTTAAAATGGGATCGTTTCCAACACTTTGACTCAAGAATCCTACAGATTATTATCAGATGTGGAGACTGTTTTTTACCAACCCTGAAACAAGGTGTTTCCTACTACTACTACTACTACTCCAGAATCCCGTGTTATTTCCTTCCTGTTCTTGTTTACTGTCTTTTAAAATAAGTTGCTTCATTTCCTCAGTATTTTGTTATGAAGTGAGAAAGCAGCCTTTAACAGAGATGTGTTTTTACTGTGTGTTTATATATGATAAACCCTCTATTCCCTCCACTCGTTCCTGCCTTTTACCATATGCAGCAGTAAAGAATTTTAAGTATCTTCTCCAGACCTGTTTATCTCTGATAGCCACAGTGGGAATGTGTATTTAATCTCATGTTTGAGGCAGCTCCACTTCTTCTGTGCATCCGGTTTATACTTGGACCATACGCTGGTTGAAGTTCTTTAAGGACGTTAAAGACCATGTGGTTTAAATGCAACAATAACCACCTGTGTGTAATTTCCAGGTTACCCGTGTTCCAGTTGAGAGCTGTGAGCAGTACACGTCCTGTGGAGCCTGTCTGGGATCAGGAGATCCTCACTGCGGCTGGTGTGTGCTGCACAATGTGTAAGTGCACCCATAATGTTAACTGATTCTTATTTTGTATTGGACTGTAACACTGCTGTTGACATTTAAAAAGGCTGCCCTGCAGTAAATAATGATCTGTAACTGTGATGGACAGCGTGGAAATCCCATGGCTTTGATTTTTATTAGTCATGTTCGCGCCCACAAATGCCAGCTCTTTACAGGCTTAAGATGTTGTTTTACCATCTGACAGGTATCAAATATGACCCTGTTACACGCCAACCTGGAACATGATGTACAGTCTGTATCGGCAAAGTGGATTTTTTCTGTAGAGTAGCTGAATATCTGTAATTTATTCTTTAAATACAGTCAATAAGATGAAAGAAATCCAAAATATACAGTCAGTCTATGTTAGTCGGACTAAAACTGGACTTGTACCTGTTAACGTGTTAGCCTAGCATAAAAATGTTAGATTCACATAGACTGATATTGTTGGTGAGAGATGACATTTAGATTAGAATCAGTTCCCTATCAGCACACTCTGTTTTACAATGCCGTCATTAGCTAGCATCTCTCCCTAAGATTAAACTGTGTCACCATTCAACCTAAATTAACACTGTGACCAATAGGAATAGCATTGGTGTTGCATGTAAAATAATAAAAATGTACAACATATATAAAATGTACAAAGCATGCAACAACTTACCTGCAAGTTAAGGATGAGGCAGTAATTATGAACTGGCTTACTTTGAGATTTCTGCTTTTTTTTTTTACATCAGATGATTTTAAAAGTTTGATTTCTATATGTTTTATATTGATTTAAACTATAATTTTACATCTACTTTACAGTGATATAGAAAAGTTCCCTCTTGCTCCCATGTTTTCAAAGTACAAGAGATGTTTCAACAATATCAAGAGGCTGAGAATTAGATTTGTCTTCTTATTACCAGTCAATTAGACGATAAAGAGTCTGTAATCAAATTCCACTTGTATAGAATTTAGCACCAGAAATAAATTCATTTAAGGCTTATAAAGGAAACACATGACAAGTGCCTCCAAAGAATTACACCAGCCCTGAGTTTCCTCTAGTTCTACTTCCGAACAGCATCACACCTTCATTCATCTCCAACCTTTAATTTCCCTAATAACCCACTGAAAGTGCCAAATGCCCAAAGCAGTCCACATAAAGGTAGACATTCTGGGGTTTTTTTTTTTTTTTTTTTTTTTTTTTTTTTTTTTACGATTTGCTTTCTAAAGATGTTTTCTAAAGATGTTTTCAGGCTCTTTTTTTCAACCTTCACATTTGAATCAAATGAAACTAAAAAGAAACGTCTGCATATCATTAAGTATTTTATTACAAAATATATTTGCTTTGCCTTCATTTTCAGAGGTTTAACTGCATTTGAAGCCGATATGTTAACTCCAATTTTCATGCATCCATGCACCTGCTAATGAAAAGAGAAGCTTTGCCTGAAAGCCATTTCAGCATCCTCTGGTTGTTCAATAAAAACTGTACACAGGCCATCACTAAATCAGTGAAGCCTGCACTGAAACTGCTCTGGTTTTGTAAGTAACACAGAGGTTTTCTGCTGCATCTGGTCCGAAAGCTAAAATGTTGAACAACATGTATTTTATCTAAGGATGGATGGAGGTCCATAATTTCATAATACCAAAAGAATTCCTATGAAAATAAACTTTATTTGCTTCACTGACTCAGAGGTGACTCTTGTGTGCCCTCTCCCTCCCTCCTTTTTCAGATGTTCGAAGAAAGATCGATGTGAGCGTGCAGAGGAACCACAGCGTTTCACCACCAGGGCAGAACAGTGTGTCCGACTCTCTGTCCAGCCGGACACAGTCTCTGTCACCATGTCACAAATTCAGGTACGTGAGCAGGACTGCAGGTGTGTGTGTGTGTGTGTGTGTTTGGGTTGTGTGAAGTTGAGCAGTAAAGAGGTAGAATGATGGACAGCAGAAGTGGCCATGACAGATGTGGGACGAGATTAAATAAACCTTGTTCTTGGGTCATTGCTGGTATCACTGTGAAGATGAGCTGAGAAGTGAGTTAGAGCTACGTTTCTGAAAAGCATTTTCTGCTGCCGGGGGCTTCATCACATTACTATTGGACTATGTCAGTTTGAATTTACAGTTGTTGTTGTTGGGGTGTTTTTCTCACACCTTTATGCTTTGCTTTTTCTCTGTAGTTGGTTCTTCAGACCCAGAATGTTCCTAGTCTGTCCGCTGGAGTCAACTGCTCTTTTGAAGATTTTGTAGAAACTGAGGGGCGGATCTACGGGGGACGGATCTTCTGCTTGTCGCCCTCTACGAAAGAGGTCGCCCCCATAACAAGAGACCAGGGTAAAATAAGATTTAAAAATACAAGCCTTTGAGCAGTGAAAACTGTTCACAAAATTCTCCTAAAAATGTACTGTATATCAGATGAATAAATTCTAATCTCAATTTCAATAAACAGGTTTAACTAAAATACATTTTAGTTAATGTGTTTGACATGAGATCCAAAAACCCAACGTGTTCATCTCCCTTTATCAAGACACCACTCTGTCCTCAGAGCTTCACTTTAATAAAAATTAATTACTGGATAATGATATCATTCAAGTTGGGCAAATATAACATTTTTCACTTCATTAACTAGGTACATTTAACTGCATGAAATCACACATTGTAACTGCTGCTTTTTAATTAAACCAATGAAAACTGTAGTTCAGTGCATATGTGCAGTACAGATAAAGTACTTTGATTTAGTGGAACATTACTTTTTGCCAAATTAGCATACACCGTGGCAACTGAATTAACATTAGATTGCAGTTGTTAATGTCGAGTACGTGTTTGAAATGTTTCTCTGTTGTTTCTTGAACAGGCGATCAACGTGTCATTAAGTTGTATCTGAAGTCAAAGGAAACAGGAAAGAAGTTTGCCAGTGTGGACTTTGTCTTCTACAACTGCAGCGTTCACGAATCGTGAGTAGAATTTCTCCCTAAATCATTCATGTGTTGTTAAGCGTGTTTTCCACTCATGCCGCCTGTGTATGGACAGGCTGGACGGGTGATTTTTGGAGTATAAAAAAAAATTAATTAGCCAAAAGCACAATGACATTCCCAACTCAGCAGGACACAAACTGCCGGGAAGTGAAATTCACAAGAGGCTTCAGTGTGACATTTGGAAAAAATAAAATAAAATCAAGAACAATAGCAAAATATAACTGGTAAAATGGGAAACATGGGAGAGTAGAGTGCAACCACTGCTAATTAACTATTCAATGGATTCAAGCTTTTTACAAATCAATTACCTAATTAAATCTCAAGCAATAATTGGACGACTGCTGATGAAGAAAAAAAAATTGATTCCAACCATGCAAGACTTACATGAGCAGCCAAGCAGAAGGAGCCAAAACACATCAGTCGTGTTTCTAGGAAATTAGTTTTACTCCATGTATTGGAAAAAAAAATAATTTTTGAGATTTATTTGAAGTGATTTTGTTTTTCTTACAAATTCTTGTGCAGAAATGCAGCTTAGAAGTAAGTTAGAAATATGGAAAAGAATCACTGCCACAATGAACATAAGATCATCGATACATTATTTACTGTCTGTGGGTATGAGAAATGTTTTTTTGTTTTTTTTTAATTGTTGATATCCAAAACATTGGGGTGTCTTCTAACCAGAATAACTGGGTTTGAGTCCAACTATATGCAGACGATTCCTTCGTCATTGTGCGTCTTTTAATTTAAAGTAATGTTGGGATTCATTTTCAGAGGTCTGTCTTTCATGAGGCTGAGTCCATCAAGGTTAATATTTGACATTGTCTTTTCTAAATCTATATTTTACTTTTCTATTCAGTGTTTTAGAATTAAAATTAGTATAAGTTAGTGGTTATGCAATAACGAATAGTGTTTTTCGTTTGAATCTTTGTTCAGATGGATTCGTTAGCTCTGTCAGGGTTGGGTTTATAATCATATTTATCATTATATTTTATGCCAAAGCAGCTAGAGAAGAGAAGAACTTTATTTTACCGAATATTTACAATTTTAGTGCCACAACAGACACAGTTTCTTTGATCAGTAGGACGGAACTGGAAGGCCAGAGCTGATCTCACGTGGTTAGGAGAAGACAACAATCAGGACGCATTTTAATGTCAGGTTGCTGTTCAGTCGCACTCCAGATCATTCAGGACACATGTTAATACTTTCTCTCCTTCATCAAACCCATTTATTCTGTGTGCTCTGCTCTTGGCCCTGCATATATCTGCATAGTAATGGGCTCTTAATTAGCTTCTAGCCAGAGTTCCTGTGTGGAGATGGCCGTGATGGAGTGGGTTTGGAGAGTGAGCTCATCTGGGCCACTACTTAGGGCCTCCAGGCCTAGTTCAATGGCTTTGATTCATTTCCATGTGCTTCTGTGTGTCTGTGTCTGTGTTTTCCTCTATACCCCTGATTAAGTGGCCCACCTAGCGTTCTCCTCTTGTTCCATGCATAAACAGGCTCACTGCTGTTTGATGATAGCTTTGCTGGCCCACTCAGGTCTAATCAGTTACTGCACAGTTGGTGTAACATAAAATTACACCAAACTTCTAACCCAAACACACATACAGTAAACACACTCATGGGCTTATTTGACCCAACCGTGCACAAAGTGATACACGCAAGTCCAGGGTCTGATAATGGGCCTTTCCTCATGGGCGTAGTAGAAAGTATGGGTTTGACTCCCAGCAGCAGGTGCTAAAACAGGGCCGTATTTTCACAGACGCTAAAACAGAGCTACTGTTTGGAAAAACTGAGTATCGTTAGTCAGACCCATGTCCATGGACTCCTTAGTCAAACAGTGGTCATCAAGGCAGAAAGGGCAGACCTGAAGGACCAAATAAATTGAACTATGTGCATCGACTTCTATGAATTTTGAAAAAAATTCAGGTTGAGTAACAATATAATTTGGCCATTATGAAGCGTGGAGAATGTGAGATTAGTATACTGTATATAAACAACGTTATGGTGCTGAGTCAAAATTGGTAGGGAAAAGTGCTGTCATGCTACTGTCTTCAGGATGGGATTCTGATTCAATGCTTAAGGTTTGGTTTTTATTAGGTTTTACTTTAGCAGGATTATGGCAACTTCCTGTTTTGTGGCAAAAAAATAAAAGCTCATCAAAGTTGATCATCTGATTAAACCTTTAATTTGAATGTCTTTGATGAATATTTTGACGTCCTGTTGGTTTTAGGATCAAATTCAAGTGATTTCCCCTTTTTTTCAGCCAGCACCAATGCCTGTGGAATCTAGGAAACCTATAGCAAACACCACAATGTTCTTGTTTAGCTCAAACATTTGAACAACCAAGTTTAGGAACTTTGGTCCTAAGTTTTGTAATGTGTTGTGCATCTTTAAACCCTTGGAAAGAGAAAACTAGGCTGGGTATCAATAGGGTTCTTGCGCTGGTTCTACCCGGGCCCCTAAAAGAACCAGAAAAGAGTCCTGCAGTGGAGAGCGGCCCACAGAAGAAACTTCACATTCCCTAAGAGCTCTCCAGGGAAAGGACAACAGTGAAGGAGGAATAAGTGGGACAGATATATAAAGCAGAGTGTCGGTGTCTAAGAGCAAAACACTCAGCCCATTGTGAGGGGAATAATGTGTCCCACACAGCTAAAAGGTTTTCACCCAAGTCGTAGTAGGCAACCATGACCATTTCAATATGAAAGACCTGAAATCAATGCAGTGAAAAGGAGAACTCAGGGGAGGGGAACGACCCACGCTCTGCTGCCCAGTAAGGGCTGTCTTTTCCAGACTGACCATTGGCTGTGGGACTCCTGGTCAGACACCATTCATCATCCTGTTAGAAGCAGTTCACAGTCCTTTGGCTTACATTTGTGGCAACACTCGTTTGTCCAGTATGCAGTGAATGTGTATTTAATCAAGCTGCGAGCTGAAAATTTGCAGACACGGCTTTCGGACGTGGGCAGTATTAAGTTACAAGGGAGTATCAAGGCTTCCAGAACAATCTAATTCGTCCAGGCCCTATTATACCATTGTTTCTGTCTGCAGAGATTATTTAGGTGAAGCTCTGACATCTGTGGCACAGTCTGACAGAAGTAATAGGATTCAAGAAGTAAACAAAGCTCTGGATGTTCTAAAGTTAAGAGAACCACAACACAGGAATCCCTAGCACCGGAAAGGGTGAGATTAACAGGGTAAAACTACAAAAAAGAAATTTTGGTTAAACATTTGGTTAAAGATTTATCAAAAAGAGCTTATCATCAAAAGGCTTTGGCAAAGTCTCTGGGTTTTGAATATTTGGCTTCAGATGGTTTTTGCAATCATCAGATAGAAGAGTTAGCGTCTAATAAGAGAGAATTAAATATCGTAGCTTCATTCGTGACTTCATTGATATCAGCTCGGCATAAAACCAGCAGGTATTCTTTCAAACACTCTCTCATTCAGGTCGGTTTCTTGCATATCATCAGCTTTGTTCAATCGATCCAGGCCTCAGTAGAACAAAAGCTGTGAGTAGATGAAAAGCCGTTTGACCTGACTCCGTTGCGAGGCCTTGTTAAATAACGGAGGACTTTATTGATTACACTGCAGCAGCTCAGCCACTTACCCCAGCCAGTTGACCAGGTGTTGACGGTCCAGCTGTAGAACAAGTCTCCACTGCCCAGGTGACCAGTCAGCAAGGATGGGAACCTGACATGGGTGACAGCTGCTGTCTCTGTGTGTGTGTGTGTGTGTGTGTGTGTGTATGTGCGCGTGCGTGCGCGCATGCACTGAAGTCAGTGAGTGGAAAGTATGTGCACATATATGAATACACACACATACGCACACACACCTTGTCCTTGCTAGAGGAAATCGATAAACCTCGGGGTTAATAGTGAAGAGAAACTGGCTCAAAACACAACAGAGTGTTGGCATAACCTCAGTCCACCTTTCCTCCGATGGAAATCCACTGTCATTGATTATAAACCCCACACTGCACTTCAGCCTTGTCTGACTTCCTTATCACTGTGTGTATGAAGATCCTCCACCCTCCCCCCCCAACAGCCTGTGTCAGCCCAACGCTCTAACAACAGATGATTTAAGTAGTTAACCCTCTAAAGTCTGAGTAAACCAAGGACACTGGGACAAACTAGGAGAAGGGATTAACCTGAAATCCATTTGAAATGCCAGTCTTTCCAGGCAGCAGGGTGTCGCTGTGCACTGAGCTGTTACCAAGCTGTGAGACTGTGAACCAGATTCTCCACTGGAGGCTCCAAAATAGGATTGATGCTCGTATTCATCTCATAAACCTGTCTGGTCTCCATTTGGATTTGAGGAAATTTCGCAAACTCAGTATTTTGTTGATTTTTCTTGAATAAACAAATTAATTTTTGTCCTAACATGAGTATAATCCTCTTGTCACATTGACTTTATGCCATGCTGAGTCTTTATTGTTGTAAACTTGTCATAATGAACTATTTTTGACTCTAGATGTGCTGATGTTCAAGGTGATTTTTTTTATTTGTTTCAAGAGAAAAAAGCATAAATAAACATTTATTCATAGCAGCAACCAGACTGAAGGAGGACTGTTGAAGGTTCATACTGCATTAGTCTTTCATTCTAAGCAGTAAATTGATTCCCTCTTCACAGCAGATGATTAGAGCTGAACGTAGGGGAAAGTGAAGGAGAGGAGAAGTTTAAATCAAATCTAAAATTTTAAATCACAGTTTTTCTTGCTGAAATTATCCTTAAGGTTTTGTTAGTTTTATCCTCACCCAGACTTGGGCAGTAGAGAGTATCACACACAGTAAATTATAATTAAACAAGTTTAAATAAAACATTCAAATGCAGCACCATTGTTGTTAGCAACGCTGATTATTGTCAAGACACATTGGCTAAAGTCATATTTTTATAACATTTTTCGTCTTTTCAGGTGCCTCTCATGTGTCAACGGGAAATTCCCCTGTTACTGGTGCAAATATCGCCACATGTGCACACAGGACGCCAGCGACTGCTCCTTCCAGGAGGGACGAGTCAACTCCTCTGAGGTGAGGGTTTGACACACACACACACATACGCGCGCACACACATACAGATCCATTTTCTAAACGCAGGTACTCAGGGACATGGAGCAACACATGAGTGTGTTTAGTAGCATTAATAAACACACAAATACACACTCTCACACAATCACGATTTGTATATAGGTAGGGTAATTGAGGGGCTGCAGCTGGGACCTTGCCACCGTTTGAGAGTGTGTATGAATGAATGCTGCCCCCACTGGCCCAGCAGCAGCTGTTTTACTCCAAACAGAGCTGTACTAATTTATTTACTTCTAACCAGTGCAGCATGAATTAATATGTTAATGTCTGTGCACATCATTGTCCTAAATGTTATATTTGCATGAAAACTAATTTTTCTTCCATGAGCTGAATTTTTCTCTACTCTCTATTATGTGATCTTTTTAATGACTGTGTTAAATTAAAATTGAACAATAACAGAAGGCCTTCTTTCAACTATATAATAACTAAGTACTGCAACTAGAATTCTACGTAATTTTTGGTTATTTACACATTTTCTTCACCAAATGGGTTTTGTGCTTGTAAAGTTCACACATTGTTAGCCATATGTTTTCTCTTATAAAACAACTGCAACATCAATGTTTTTAATCTAACTTTGATTTTAGTCTAACCCTTGCTCTCACCCCCTGGCCTAGAACTGCTTCTATCATGCAGTC